CACAACCACACGCGATGTATTTGTAATTCAGTTATCTCAATTTTGAATATCTGAAGAACTACGACATACGGAAAGACTTCTTTTTTACGCTTCAGCCGTCACGTGAAATTTCCATCTGTATATTTTCATAATATTCATTTCTCTGATCGATTTATTACTTAATATTATGGACTTACCGTCGGCTCGACGCCATCATAGCCTGGATTGTCTATGCCAGTCATTATGTCATCTGTAAAAAAGAAAGAAAAATAGACTCCTTGCAGCTGTATAATGTTGATCCATTAAACAATATCACGTCATTCAAGAAACTGTGTTCTTGAGAATACCGGGCACAAATGGCCGCGTTATGTAAAGTGTATATTTATTTAATATATTATTATGACTACACACCAAGGAAAGAGCATATTATAGTTTCTTTAGTTTTTCAAAGTAGACTGTCAGTAAGTCCCACTTTGTTGATTGTAAATTTCGCTGGAAATATAGACAATTTTTCAACAGTATACATTTTAAATCGTAAAATATGAATAGCACATACGAAATGAAAGAATAATAAATTACAGCAGAATATCGATCTGCTCCTTGATTAAAAAATTTTAGAATAGGTTTTACTATTCTATATAATTCTCTTATAATTCTCTTTACTATTATATATAATTCTCTATTTACTAATTCTCTTATAATTCTCTTTACTATTATATATAATTCTTCTTGTATACATTAAACAAAAGATAATGTATTTCATAATAAAATGTTATAGAAACATTATCCGACAGATAATAATTTCGCCGTATTCTCGCGATAGTCGATATTTTTATGATAATATTTTTGTTGACAGTAGTTATCTTCATTGATAATAAAGAAAAACACGTGACGTGAATCATTATTGAGCGCACGCATATCTGTAAGGTACTTTTGTCCAGACGTCGAAAGATTGTCAGCATGCCTTTTTGAATGTCACTGTAGTATCGTAGTAAGACGATCGTTGATAGGTGCGAATAAAGCGTAATAGCGCTCAGTCAAAGTAACAAGATAATAGTCATCATGGTTAAATTATTATGCACCCTGCGCGGAATGTGTGCCCAGACTTAATCTTTCAGACGAATTCAATTCAAGGCTCACGTAGTAGGTCACTCTCTTACTTTCTTTTTCTTTCCCTTTCTCATCGGGAAACATTTGTCGCAATTGCGTCGCGTATGTAAATTCCTGTTCTTAATTTCGCGAAATAGAACTTTTGAAGCCGCCGTAGCAAAACGAGGATCGTCGGTCGCGGAATATCTTCAAGTTTAACGTGATTTCGCCCATTAGTAACCTTTCCATCCTTTCCACTCGATTCGTCGCATCGTATTACGATCTGAGTACCGATTACTGCCTTCGTAATTACTTCTCTTACGATTCTGTTCGACGCTCCGAGCGGGAAAAATCGCACGAAAGTTCGCGAAACTTTTGAAGTGAGTTAAATTCGCGTGTAACCCACACACTTTGCGTCACGCAAAGTTCGAAGGAATTTAAATAAACGCTCTAATCGGCGAAATAACCTCGCGGAGTAATTGGCTTATTAATATTTTATGCCAGATACTATGACGAGGCACGACTCAGTGAGATCAAACGAATGTGATATGCACTTTGCGAACGATTATTTTCTGTCAATAATTGCCCACTCTTATTGTTAACCGAGTTTACACCAAGTGATAAAACAGATTATCCATATACCGAGATGAAAAATACGATAATTCACTTATTTTCCAATTGTAATCCGTTTTACGCGTATATCAAGCCATCAGTGTCACAGCTATTTCGAAGTGACCTTGTCACTTCCTCGGGATAATCAACCATTACGATGCACGAATACGTAGAAACAATGTACGTGATCGGGAAATTCGATTGAAACTGATAAATTAAGTCTCTCTGAGAGGCTTGTAGTAATAGTCATCACTTGCAACTTATCTCGAATGAGATAGGTTTGAATTCCGAGTTAGATAAGAATTTTTCAGTTGTATCGCAATTACAGATATAAATATCACACATATCATAATTCAAAAATTCTCATCTAACTCTGAATTCAAATCTGAGTATTTCACACGAGACAAATTTCAGGTGACAAATATTAATACGTGTTTTAGATCTGTCAGTTATTTATTGTTAGTTATTATCTAAAACTTGCTTTAGTTTAGATACTTTTATTTGAAAAATTATATAAGAGTATTCCTGAGCTGAATCACGATTGCAAATATAATGTATATGTTTCATAATTCAAATGAAAAAACCACAAATCTAATTCAAAATTCAGGTCAAATTATTTCACGTGAGACAAGTTTCATTTTGTTTTTTGCTTGAATCACATATAATAGATGCGATATTATAATTGCGATGGCGATTGAACTGAAGGATTCACATCTAACTCTAAATTCATACCTGATAATCTCATTTGAAGCAAATAACGACTATTAATATAGTTGTACAATATATCTGTAGTCGCGATTCAACTGAGAAACTCTTATCTAACTTTGAATTCAAATCTGAATATTTCACTTGAGATGAATTTGACATATTATAATAATTTAATAATATTACTATAATTAAATATTATAATAATTTAATTGCGGGTCCTTTATACCGGCTAATGTATCATTTCTTGTGATGCTTCTCGAACACGTTATTTCTCCCGAATTGTTGAAAAGACACAGACAAACAGAACACTATAGTCAAACAGCACGTCGCGCCCGTTTCTCACAAATTTACGACAGAAGGAAGGTGCTCACGCGAATTCGTGCTTTATCGCGAACACGCGTAATGACATTTGTTTTATCCTGTCGCAACTGTCGACAGCCGCGACGGGGATAGCAGTCGTTATCGTTATGAATCGCCCGGCCATCGCTCAACCTCTTCTCGTTTGAATCTTCGCGCACGCACAATGCGAATCGCGTATCGGAATAAAGCGACAAAAGGAAAACGGCTCAGGAATCGCCGTAGGTCGCGTTACACCGCGATAGTTTCGACTCGGCGACGCTAATTATATGGCTCCCAATGGATACCGACGTTGGTGCTTCCGTTAATTAATTTGCGTCCGTCTCTGTTTCTCTCTCTCTCTCTCTCTCTCTCTCTCTCTCTCTCTCTCTCTCTCTCTTTCTCTCTCTCTCTTCCGCATCGCTATATAATTAATTAACGTAACCGTAGGCTTACCGAAGAAAATGAGGAAGAGGAGTGATTATAGCTGTACTCCGTGCACGGTAGACGCACAACGGATCCTCCTCTTCCACCGATACCTGACAGCGCGAAACGAGTAACTGAATAAAGCTCGAAATAATTTTTTTGTCACGGAATCCTTTTATCTAAATAAATCATTGTAGATTAGGTGTAATAACTTAGAATTTATTCCCTTCTTAAGCTTTGTGTATTTACGCGATTATCACCACCATCACTATCATTGTGATTCACACTAAGAAAAAATATCTAGTGCGCGTTTGTAAGTATAATCACACGGAGAAATAATTACTACAAATCATGGTCGGCAGAACTTTTTTCTTAATTAAATTCTGCCACAACGGTAGTGATAACCTTACATGTGCATGTTGCCACTACCATTTTCATGGTAGAACAACCAAAGGATAGAAGAAGGTGGGACCAAAGATAACTAGTCTTAATTAGATCGACCACGCTTTTTCTCTCGGTAGGATTATACGGAATTGCGTTCGACGTTGTGCCGCTCGTCTCGCGCTTACCGTATATTTAGGCGACACCCGAAGACGAATTCCGCGACTTCGACCCTGCTAACAGCAAGTAATCCGTATCGATGCGATGCAGCGCGCGATTGCACCCATGAATCTGTCGCGACAGTTGGTATCCATATTACGACGAGTATCAGTCTCTAGGAGACAAGGCACTCGCGATAATAACACAACACGCGTGCCTTACTGCGCGAGTACCGGCGCGAGCGACATCACGAGTACGAGAAGACTGCCTTGGATTATTGCTGGCCGACCGAACCGAGGATGTAGTCCAAGTCGCGGTGACTGGGGAACTCTTGAAGAGAGTGGGGCCCGCACTGTACCCAACGTACAGTTACACGTTGGAGAGTGCGGCTTCAAACTTTCATCGACATGCTCGATACGTCTGCCACAGAGAACGTGTTTTAACATCGCGTTGCCCCTCTCCCCCTGCCCCCGGAGGATGCGCGTTTATTTCGACGACTTTTATTTACATCGCGCACGGGACGTGGTGCTTGCTTGTACATTGCATCGTACATATTTACGAAATCACGTGCACTTCGAATTGCATTATCTAATGGACATCGTGTACGTTTCCTAAGACAACGCTCCGCGTCTTTCTTTTCTCTCGGCCAGAGAAGAAGAGAGATGCGCGAGAAGATTGTTCCTCGTGAACGTGTGTTATCAGATCACTCTTATTTGAACGATAACAATGAACGCTGTGTCAACGATTTACAAGCAGGTACGAAACCGTTCGCGATACACTTCTCGAGGTATCTGCACGCGTACGCACACACACACACACACACACACACACACACACACACACACACACACACACACACACACACACACACACACACACACACACACACACACACACACACACACACACACACACACACACACACACACACACACACACACACACACACACACACACACACACACACACACACACACACACACACACACACACACACACACACACACACACACACACACACACACACACACACACACACACACACACACACACACACACACACACACACACACACACACACACACACACACACACACACACACACACACACACACACACACACACACACACACACACACACACACACACACACACACACACACACACACACACACACACACACACACACACACACACACACACACACACACACACACACACACACACACACACACACACACACACACACACACACACACACACACACACACACACACACACACACACACACACACACACACACACACACACACACACACACACACACACACACACACACACACACCGATTAAGTGTCACAAACAATTAATATTGAACGAGAGTATCCAGAGCAACGTTTGTCCGGTACGAGTAACGTTATCGATTTGTCAGAGTTCAAAGCGGAAATATATTCCGCTGTTTGCTGCATTTAATCGTTATCTACGTTGATAAGTATAAGCGGCGCTTGTATTAGCAATTTATTCTACTTAACAAATGTATTCGTAACTCGTCAATAGTTCGTGGTTTGAGTAACACTCGTAAATTAAACGTCCATCGTGCGGTAGACACGCGTTAACCTGTTTACAACATCTTCTCCGCCGTCATCAGTTCGAATTTTCACGCTCGAGTCGTTACCTGACATGAAACGCAAAAGCACTCGTCGTCACTAAATTTTGTTTGTCGAAGAACCGAAGTACACGTACTCATTTAGTACGTGTCTCCGCGAGGAGTTTAAAGAACGTAAAAATACATGACGTAAGCGACAAACAGGGCGACGAGCAAAAGCTAGGCGCACACCTGGAACCAATCCAGTCATCTCCAAATAGTACAGGTGTTATCTTTGCTGGCGGTGATTACGCTGTCGCCGGTGTACGAAAACGTGCAAGCGAATACGTCATCGGTATGGCCCTTCAGCTGTTGAAGGCAACTGCCGTCCTCCGTGGACCACAGTCTGGCCGTTCTATCCAAGGAGGCGGTCAGCAATTGATGTCCGTTCGGGCTGAAGCACACTGAAACGTACGATCGTCAGCAGGATTATCGTGCTGCATAGGTGCGCCGCGTCCAGAATTTTTCGCGAAGAAGATATTTGCCTTTTGACACTTCCTCCCGGTGGCCCTGCATCAGGGCCAGCTGTTGGAAGTTGCCACTTATGTCCCAGACACGCGCGGTGCTGTCGCTGCTGGCGGTCGCCAGCTTTCTGCCGTTGTTGTCGAAAGCGAGATCCAGAACTTCGTCGTCGTGTGCCAATAGAGTGGCCACGCAGGAGTTTGTCCTAGTGTCCCATACCTTCGCGCTCTTGTCCATCGAGGACGTCGCGATCAGCGAACAGTCGAAATTGTAAAGGCAGTTGGACAACTCCGCGCGATGGCCGACTAACGTGCTCGTGCGCCTGCAATTGTTAGTTAAGAATGCTGTATCGTACTCAATGGAATTTCATTGCGACACGAGCAACATTGTCGAATGGGTGACCGCATTTTTTCAACCTGGGGATCACAGAAGTGGACGAAGTGGGTAAGTCGGACATGTAAAGAAAGAAAAATGGGAAGGGGGCGTTTCGGAGTTAAACAATCGCTGAAATTGCAGAATACTTTGGGTTATTGCAAGTTAATCGGTGAAAGACATACTTTCCTAAAAAATCGAGACACGACGCACAGTGGGAACAAATAGAAATTTACTGTTCAGAAATCGCTAGAGACCACAATTTTATAGCAATCGGGATGATTTTTCTTTTTAATTAAACGTTAATTAATGTAGAAAAAACCGTCGAGCTTAATTTTTTTTAATTATTCTAAACGTTGCAATATTAATAAGAATTAAATTCATATTTAGCAACCTAAACCTAATATACTTTAGTGACACATTTCGTGCTACAAAAACATTTTTTTCATATCGGCTATGGGATTGACAAACAGTTGTTAATATCAAGATCTTAATACTGACTTTATATTTATATTGAACGACTTTATATATCCTATTGCAACATATACACTGTGTTAAAACATAATAATTTTGTTTATGTTGACGGGAGATTAGCAGTTGTCAACTGCCAAATTCTGATTTTTATATCAGATTCGTAATCAGCGATGCTGAAAACCTTAGTACTGTCCTTAGTACTGAAAAACATTGTACTGTGCAGCGAAAAGATGGAAAGTTTTCCAATTGGAGTGGCTCACAAAACTTGATAATTTTTGACAAATTCTTATTAATATTGTAACATTTAGAAGAATTTTTTTAAGAATCGGGCTCGACAGTTTTTTTCTACATTGATTAACATTTAATTTAAAAAAATTCATTCCGACTACTATAAATTGTGGTCTTTAGCAATTTTTGAACAGTAAATTTCTATTTGTCCCCACTGTGCGACGGATCGAGATGAGTAATGTTTTGTTAGTGTCGTGAAAATATGTAAGAGAACATGAATACAAATGTCCATTGCGATAGTTGATAACTTGTACTGAGACAAAAAGTTAATCTAACTAAAATTATAGTTATTTTTTGTACACCAAACCCCTCTCCATATTTTATGGCTGTTTAATACGAAAATAGTAATAATAACATGCACATAAAGGTTATTATCACTAATATTATAATAGAATTTAATGAACAAAAATTTCGTCATTGAATGAATCATTGAATAAATTTTTAGTCGGTTAGTTCACATATACGGCCATTTTACACAGAAAAAACATTCTTGTTTTGAAAAAATCTTTGTTTTACATATAAATCATAAAATCAGATTATATAACGTTAAATCAAAATATTTGCATCAATATATTTTATATGGTTCAAAAAGAAAAATATATTCTTGTTATTTAAAAATAATTTTTACGAATAAAAAACACATAATATTGAATTGAGAGTATAATTTTCCTGAATGACAGAAGACATTTATTATCATCAAAATAATCATATTGTACTTCTCATGAGACTATTATATTATTCAAATAAATAAACTTCTAACATTGTTGAAATTTAAAACTTGAAAATTCTTTTGACAAAATTACATATCGTCGCTTATACTATGAAACAATGAATGTTAATTTAGGCACATTAGTCTTAAGTAGATATTAATTTTTTCTATGTACTCGAAAGGTCAACCCGAGCTGAAATTTAAGTTCTACACCGCAGTAGGAGCTAAGATAGTAAAGTAGGTTTATTTCTAATAATATAATTTACTGCTACTTTAACTTTGATGATGTTTGAAATTCCTGCTTTCGCTTTCTTTAGCGTCAAAGTAAATTGTATAATACATTGTAGGATCTTAGGAAGCAAAGTAGGTTCAGTTGCGAATATGAAAGCTCTATTGAAGCTTTAGCTCCTACATAGAATATGTGTATTTTATAGAAATATTTAAAAATTTTAATAAATAACAAAACAGAAACGTCAAATAGCATACAAAATATACATTTTATTTATTGCATATATTTCAGACATCATCAGGGTTAAAGTAGTAGTAAATTATATTATTAGAAATAAACCTACTTTGCTATCTTAGCTCCTACTGCGGTGTAGAATTCAAATTTCAACATAGTGTCAAAATTTCGACTCGGAAATGAGTGTCAATATCGTCAAAATAGGTTGCACCTAGGTTGTAGATGATCTAAGTAGACTCAAACTATTTTTAAGAGCGTCAAAGTAACGTCAAAATTTTGACAAGGTAGAGTTAAAGGTTCAAAAGAGAAGTTAATGAGTATCAATATCGTCAAAGTAGGTTTCACCTAGGCTATAAACCGTCTAAGTAGGCGCAAACTATCCTTAAGAGCATCAAAGTAGCATTAAAATTTCGACTCGGACAAGACGCCGGGCAAGAATATTCATAAAGCTGCTCTTCGCTGACTAACCAACAAAAGATAAAATGCTAAGAGAAACAGGAAAAACGATAAAGTGTTGAATGATCGCGCCACTTTGAATCGGATAGACGATGATTTCGAGGCGGACACAATGGACTGAATCAAAAAGATTTACTTACGCGCGTAACGAATAAATTCGTATATTCGAGACTAAAATTTATTCGCAGTCAGTAAGCAAAAGGGAAAGAGACTCACGCGAAAATTCTTGTATCCCAGATGTTGACGGTCCCGTCGAAGGAACCTGATATGATCTGATTTCCATCGTCGTTGTAATGCAGGGCAATAACTTCCGCCGTGTGGCCTCTCAACGTACCCAACTCCTGACCTGTCGAATCCAAATCGTGTCTCTCTCGCATAAGAGCAGAGAATATGGCATGCCGTTAGCTTTATCCCGAATAACATTTCGGACGTGCCACCTTGCGCTTTATCATTCGAGCGATGAACGCAATTAAATGATGAAATCGTACGTATAGCCCGATCCGACTCGTCCGCTTTAAGAGGACGACTAAAGCGGAGCATTCGTCGCGCAGCGCGTATGAAAAAAAGCGTAGCCGTTTTCGGAGAAAATCGGTCGATTGTTAATATTTCATTCAATATTCCGAATTGGTTTCACGGACTCGCGCCACAGGGGGAGACAGAGGGCTTCGGAATTAGCGAATGGCGCGATCGTTCTACTCGAGAGTAGTAATTAAAATATCGAATCGTCGGCGCAATGACGTGTAAGCCACTGATAATTGAACACGGAATAGACGAAAGGGATAAACTGATGTGTGCGCTACACCGGCCGGGCGAGATCGAGAAGTTGATTTGACGTTCGCGGCTTATGCTCGAACGGTCGTAAGCCCGGTTGCGAATCGGTCGCGAGCGCGTCTATTATGTGAGATAACATCGCACTATTTTCAATACCGGTCTCCACGTGGAATATTTTCGACGTCGCGTCGATGGAGCCGGTCGCGAGCTTGCATCCCGTCGGTGAAAATGTCGCCACCACCACCTCCGCCTCATGGCCCCACATGGTTACGAGGCAGTGACCCGTCTGCGAGCACCAGACCTTCGCGGTTTTGTCGAAGGACGCGGTTACGATTTTGTCCCTGGAACACAGAAACACCGCTTCAACGATGGATAAGGCAGATGCATACGCGGTGTCGAAATAAAACTGTTCAAAACTTATAGAATAGTACTCATTGAACTTACAAGGAAACCCACACAAGTGTCCGCCTCAGATTTTCATGAACTTGTAATATATTGTACTTTAAATCAAAATAATAGATATGTTTTTTATTATATGTGCCTTCTTTCGCAAGTTTAGGGGGTGAAATATCTCTTTGGAGAAAATCGGTTTTTTTCATTCGAAGGGAATATAATGAAAACTATAAGAAATAGAAAAAAATATTTTGAATAAAAATTGAATGGTTTAAAGAGTACTTTATAGAAATTATTTTAATAATTATAATAAGAAGTGGTGGGGGAAATATTACAACAAAATTTTGTGTAAATAATTTCTGTACTCTTCAAATCATTCAACTTTTATTAAAAATATTTTTTTCTATCTCTTATAGTTTTCATTATATTACCTTCGAATGAAAAAAACCGATTTTCTTCAAAGGGGTATTTCACCCTCTAAACTTGCGAAAGGACACACATAATAAAAAATAATATAATTATCTGTTATTTCGATCTATGGAATCTTTGAAAGTACAACAATCTTTGAAAGTACAACATATTATAAGTTTATAAAAATTGGAGGCGGACACTTGTGTGAGTTTCCTTGTTAGTAAACAATACTTAGAGAATATGAGTTGGAAAGTCCTTTTCAAAGATTACCTTTAGAAAATTTTTAATTTTTGAATTTTGGTGAGCCTCCACCTCTCTTCATTGAATCTAAATCGTTTTGCAAACTGCTGTACATCATCAAAAAACCGAAAATCGTTCCTAATTCTAAAAGAGTGATTCTTTGATCAAGTATTTTTTACTCACAAGGAATACTAGGCAACTCAAAAATTCAAAAAATTTTGAAACTTTGTGTGCAAGTAGAGTAGTTCATCCGTAACACAAAACTATTTTTTGTTTGTGCAGAATTACAGTTTTAGGGAGTGAAACACCTCTTTGAAAAAATAGGTTTTTTTTTTTGAAGCAAATATCGTTGAAACTATGAGAGATAGAAAAAATTTTCCAAAGTGAAAATTGAATGATTTCAAGAGTACTTTAGAACTATAATAAAAAAATGTTTTAAAATAGGGGTGGGATTAGAGTTATACAATAAATAAACAATTAAAAAAATTTTTTTTATTATAGTTTTAAAGTACTCTTAAAATTATTCAATTTTTACTTTGGAAAATTTTTTCTATCTCTTATAGTCTCAACGATATTCGCTTCAAAACAAAAAAACCAATTTTTTTCAAAGGGGTATTTCACCTCCTGAAACTGTAATTCCGCACGAACAAAAAATAGTTTTGTGTTACGGATAAACTACTCTACTTGCACACAAAGTTTCAAAATTTTTGAGTTGCCTAGTGTTCCTTGTCAGTTCAGCGAATGCTATCTATTTTTCCTATAGGCCTTGAACTTTGTTCTTATAACACCCTGTATACATAGTTATTATTCTTCTTTCTATCATCATGTTATTCTCCCCGTTGTCTGCGATCAGGCTTGTCGTAAACCTCGCGCGAGCCTAAGTATGCCGCAAGCTAGTGCGTCTTTTATTCACCAGCAGATCGATATTGTCACGACTAAGTTTGATTATCGTACGAATCCTACTCACGAAGTCGGATTGTTGAAGGAGACGGCGTAGACCACGTTTTTATGGCCTTCGAGAGTAAGAAGCTCCGTTCCACTGTCAATGTCCCAAACTTTACAAGTTCGGTCATAGCTGCCCGTCAAGCATCTGCCGAGCAAACGATTGAATCACCGATTACACTCCTCGAATGATGATCTAACGCGCACAAAATATCCGACATTAATTTAAGGAGATCACTCGAGAACCTACATACATACATTGTAGTCTAATAAATCAAGCGATACGAGATTATAACGTAATCTCTAGATCATCTAGAAAAATAGTTTATTATTAATATTAGAGTTTCTCAAGTAAGTGACTTCTCACCTCTGACTTTTTATCTCTGACTTCTTACTGATTGCTCTAGTTTTTTATTTGATAAAAAAATGGTGAATCTGAGGATTATTGTATAAAAGACTCTACAAAACTCTAGAGACTTTTCTGTAGAATAAATCATTATTTTATGATGGGAAATAAATATGGAAAAAATTTCATAGAAATTGAAAGATCCATTTTTATCATTAGTGTTACAAATATATATGTAGGGAAGTTTTCTTTTAAGATCAATTTGAGTCAAGCCTTGTGTGAAATAGACACTCTTGATAAGTAAAACAAACGCGGATACTACTTTCAATAAAAAATCAAAGTTCTCCAGACTCTTATTTGAGAATACTCTAATTAATCATCTAAAAGTTTCGATTCTACTTCGAGTCCTCTTCAGTGGTAAACATACTCGATATACTAGTATTCGCAAACGTTATTATATTGCAGAGGTCAAAACTTGAAGGAAAGTCAAGTCCGACATAGAATCGAAACGTTTGGATAGTGCTAATAATAAATTCTATTTTTTACCAATCTAGAAATTGTTATAATCTTTGTATTACTTGATTGGATTCATTATACTACAATATCTATGTATAAGCTCTCAAAGATCTTTGAATGATTTTATTTGCTCGGACCCCAAAGAGCCTTACAAAGTTTATTTATTTGACATTAACTTGTTTCGAATGTCGTATGAAGATATTCGGCGCGTTAAATTAATTGTTCACATTGCATGCGCAGGATTATCCTTACGTGCTCTTCTTTAAACAATTTGTCAAGCATCAAACTGTTGTGTGATGTAATATGAAACATCGTTCACTTGGGAGTTTCATGAATCTTGTCAATTTTATAAAATATTGATCGACGATATTAACGCGGAGTACCTTTTACCTAGTTTATCGAGCGCCACGTTAGTGACCGGCAAAAGATGGGTCTGCAAGGTTTTGTATTTATAGTAGCGCTTGGCGTTTGTGTCGCAAACTTTAGCTTGCAGCTTCTGCAGAGTCTCGACTAACTGGTCCATTACACTTTCGGTTATTACAGGTTCGGCTGCTTTTATGCTCTCCGCTAATGCTCTTATGTCCGTTCTGCAAAGTAAGTCATGTAATTTCTCGCTTTACTTCGCGTGCATGCGTCAGATACATATACATACATACATATATATATATATATATATATATATATATATATATATATATATACATATATATATATTTATATATAAATATAGAGAGAAGGAAAGCCATTTAAGGCAAAGCAAAAGTGAAAAAATATAAGATAACGATATTAAATGAAATTTTTAGAGAAACAGAAATGCAAATATAGCAATGGAAAGCGGATGCGAGAAATAAAACAAACATAAATTGCGTTACATCCATGAATGCGACCAGCATAACACGTAATCAATGGTTAATTTTAGTTATCGTTTATTTCAGAGCAAGAAAAAGTAATCGTAAAAGATAAATGCACGATTACTCGGCAGTCAAGTCCAGTAGATCGATCATTTTCGTCTTGATGTCACCGCCTTGCGTGTATTCCAGTGCAAGACCTAGAAAAATTTGAAACAGGTATTTTACATACAATTTGAATTGTGATATTTCTATTTAAGATGAAGCTATCGCGTGTATCTGCGATTTGTTTTGAATTCTATCGACTTCATTGATTTTTCCCTTTACCTTCGCACGGAAATTTTAATAAAACGCTAAAAGACCAAAATTGTACTCTCTCAAGGTAAATCAATGAAAATGTTTTTAATTAAATTAATAAGAGGAGTATTTCACCGATAATCAATAAATATTCATCTTACTACTCCGTCTTATATATCAACCTTTTCAGGACGGGGTTGCTCGGGAAGATAATTATAGGAAAATACGTATTCTATGGGTTTTTGGGATCGTTGAATCCGAATCTGAACTTACATTTTTTAAATTCTGTGATCCAAGATGGCGGACCCAATAACGCAGAAAAAATGATAAATAATATAAATATCACTCAATTTCCATGAAATTTGAACTATAAAACTTTTTAAAGATTTTTTAAGACTTTTTAAAGACTTTTTTGAGAACTAAAATCGAATATTTGAAATTCAAAACGTTGACCAAGGAAAACAATTTTTAAATCTGACCCGACCTGATCACATCTGCAAAAATTAAAAAATTTTTTTAAATCAAAATTTCTACTAATTCAAATTTAGAATATGAAGTTCCACGGAAATTGAATCATATTTTCATAATTTAGCATGAAAATCGCCATATTTGATCCGCCATTTTAAATTTTATATTTTTTACTTCAAATTTGGAAAGTGCATCCTAAAAAATCCCTACATACCAATTTTTATGAATATCGGATCGATAGCTTCTGAAATACATGCATGAAGACCGTAAAACATAAAAAGGTGTCTCCTGTCCTGAAAGGATTAATTTTGACCAGTGGAAGTAAGATTTCATTGCAAAACAGCGGTATACCAATTTATTATTGTGTGTATCTGTAATACACAAAACTACATTGCGCCAAAACCAGCTTTTTGCTTTTTTGTGGCGATGGAATTAACGGCTATCATGCAATTTTTTATGTGCAACGACAATATCTATGTTTACAAGCCATATCAATAATAAGAACAAACGATTAACTATCTTTCTCCGCGAGATTTTATTGATTGCAGTGCTATACTTGTGACTGAAGCATAAATACAGCACACATACACATTTCAGTAAAGAATACACTGATTGTATCTTAGAGAGTAGAATTGATTTCACGCGTAAGCTACATAATTTTCCTCCTGCTGAAACGTTTTTCATTTGAATTACAGATTCTTTTTGTGCACCATCGCGAACGTGCTGATGCTTACCTGGTGGGAAATAACGAAGCAGAAATTTCAGCAGCCTCATGTGGACATTCCAATTACAGCAAGGTGAGTGTTTTGGACAGGGCCGCGCGTCGTTACTATCTGACGGAGGAGAGAGGCACGGATTTAATTATAAAATGTGATCGCACATCACACGGGGAGATTATGACGTATCACGCAGATGCGTTTTCTCCTCGCCAGCCGGCCAGAGCTGTCAAAATCGCGTTTCGTATGCTTACTCGTATGTACGAGCGCGTGTCCGCGTGCGTGCGTGCGTGCTTGCGTGCCAGTCAAACGCGCCGTCTTGCAGGAATGATTGTGTGCCGTGTTGCCGTGCTGCCTTAAATTGGTTACTAAGGCTTGCTTGATCAATTTCAAATACAAGTCACGTTTATACTAAAATATACAAATTCAATGAAATGAATAAAAAAAGGAAATTTGCACGCTTCAATGTTTTAGAAAATAATTTGACATAAAGAATATATGTTGCTGCTAGATAATTTAATTAAGATATTTTTTTCGTTTGCCTACGTGTATTGAATGAAAGAATCCGTACACACACGCTTATTATATAATATAGTTAGAAAAGAGATTCAGTATGCAAACTGTTTTGCCATCTGTTCCTATAAATCACGAGTTATCATAAGAGCAAGACACTTGTCGTCTCTCACTGCTTTAGCGATGATAAATACTGACGTAGTTCTTAATGTTCCCGCGGACAGCGTTCGTTTACAAGCTCCGTTTATTATTTGCAGTTCGCACCGGCCTCTTCGAATTGTTAACATATCCTTTATTTGAGTGATTTTGTGGGTATCTTTATTATTGTTATCTATATCAGCTGCTGTTTTTTGTTGTAAATCTATCTTTGAAATTGTTTGTTCTTTTCACTGTGACAACATAATATTGCGTAAAAGATATTGATATTTTGTTTAATCTCTTGCATTGTGTAAGTACTAATTTATAATCTTTCTAATTTTCATAAAATTATTGGCATTTCTAATATCTTCAATAATATATTATTAAAAAATATTGACTAAATCACATATCAATTATACATTAGCAAACATAGGTTGTTTCACAATGTCCACGGACTACAACGACAGATATGTATTTGAAGCTGAGTGGTATGACAAAGTTGCCAGTCTATTGAAGAAATTTTATTTGTACTATTTTCCATCAGACAATACTATTGAATTGGTATGTATACAAATTAGTACAAAAGTCATGTTAGTAATATTATAACCAATATGATATGACCACATATAATTTTTATGTTTCAGTTTGACTTAAGAACACGGAAAACTTTCCTAAAGAGAACAAGGTGTGAAGGCATCAAGGCTGATGATATTCATGTGGACGCTATAGTAACAATATTTTCAAGAAATATGAAAATTACAAACTATGCAAATGCTTATACCAAGAACAAATTACAAACATATATGGAAAAGTAATATATACGCATGAATTATTAAAAGAAATTCACATATAAAACTTTCTGTTGAAATAACAGTTCTATTTCTTTAGAGTTTTTGCACTTGTAAAGCCAGATGTTATTGATAAAATGGGTGAAATATTAAAGATGATTATAGACTATGATTTTCAAATTACAAATATGAAAATGATCAAATTAACTGCAAATGAAGTTACAGAACATTATCCTATAAAAGACACAATTGACAAAACGTAAGTTGAGATAATATAATAAAAGTAACTTGTTTTAATGACTATATAATTTTCTAGCGGTTAATCTAAGATATCATATATTCCTTTCTTTAGATGTATTATAAATTATCTTACCTCTGGTCCTGTTATTGCTTTGGAACTATCAGGAAAACATGGTATAGCAAAATGGAAAGAATTGGCAGGTGTAAATGATAGTAAGCAAGCTTGTACAACCACAAAGTCTTCACTAAAAGTTTGTTATGGGAAGGATGAGATACATGATGCTGTGTATGGATCTGAGAATGTCGAGAGAGCAGCACGAGTGAGTTCTTTTTTTATTTTAATACATACAGTTGTTAATTTAAAAGTACCTATTTCAGTCTTGGGTATGCTTTATATTTATAGGAGCTGCAATATTTCTTTCCCGACTCAAAAAGTAAGACTAAAGGACCAAAAAACACTGCAACTCTACAAGGTTGTACATGTTGTATCATTAAGCCACATGCTATACAAGCAAAGCTTGCTGGTAAGTTGAATTTGTTTTGTATAATGTATAAATATAGTAATATAAAATCCGTACTTTATTACTTTATTATTTTCTAAATTTATAATATATATAAATATATTTTCAGGTGCTATTATCGATGACATTCAAAAAGCTGGCTTTACAATTACCGCAATGCAACAGTTTTACGTCAATCACGTTAATGCTGAGGAATTCTTAGAGATTTATAAAGGTGTTCTTCCCGAATACAATGTACGTCTTTGTTTACTTTGCGATTTTTCTACAGACACATAATCGTTCCGTTCGAAGGAGGAAGTACTTTCATAAACATCTGCTACAGGCAATGGTAACTGAATTACATTCTGGTCCATGTATCGCCATGGAAGTGAGTCGTAAAGACGAAGGTCAGAACGTAATTGCCGATTTCAGGAATTTATGCGGTCCAAGGGATCCAGTAAGTATCTCTTTAATTTCTTCGCTCACAGCGTTATTGACACACTTGTTTGACGTTGCAGGATATTGCGCGACAAATCAGACCGGGCACACTTAGAGCAAAGTACGGAAAAACGAAGGCACAAAACGCTGTGCATTGTTCCGACTTGCCAGAGGACGGCGTATTGGAGGTAATTAAAGTTCCAATCATATAACTCCGGCAAACCTGTAGACTTAAATTTATCATGTACGGATAGTGTATACGTGAATTGGATTTTTTAGGTGGAATATTTCTTCAAAATACTCGATGGACTGTGAGTGCACAACGTGCATGGTGTATATTGCGCTGTTGCATTCGAAATATTTTTACACTTTTGTACGACCAAATAAAACAATCTTCAACAAGCAAAATTCTCGAAGCTACAGTGATCTTTGGATAAAAAAAGTACTAATATTTTCAATATTTATTTTGTAGCTTTAATTTTTCACGTGATTTCAGCGACTGACAAGCGAATTTTTACGGATAAAACATTTGTGCGAATCTTATTTTAATCGGTCAGACGCATATTAATATAGCGCTTATTTAGAGCTGTGCGTTTGGCTTATACGAGTACTTTCTATCACTCGATATATACGGCGCGTTTCTTTTGCACGATGCGTCGCCTCGTCAGCAAGATCGACTGGCGGACACTTTCATTCCTGCCGTTATTTGGACGAGTCACGCGTGTTTTCCTTCCCTGTTTAATCATTATCCTTCCTAATATGTCGGCATCAGAACATTTTAATAACAGGTAATCCGATACGTTGTCTCACTTAAGCGAATTATTACATCCTTTTTTTATTAGAAAAAATAAAAATATCACCAAATTCTTTCAAATTAGCATCATCTAAAAGACTTTTGTACTTTTTTCGACAGAGCATCGACATCTATCGCATTTGCAGCAATGTAAATTACCACAACGAGTCACATTTTCAGGTGAAAGGATAGAAGTTAACAATGTTTCGCATATTATAGTTCCGTTGAGGTGAGCCTGGCATACGTACATGCCGCGCAGGTGTAATCGAAAGTGGACAGCGATTGTCTACAGTTGAGTATTCTTATATTTCACTCTTATAATATACGATTACACGTAGGTTCTCGTGTATTCGTGTCTCCGTTTGCTCAGCTGGAGTTTGCATTTCGCTCGGATATATTTCCAGCGGGCAAGGGTTTCCGGAGAAAGGGGGACTCCTGAAGTAGCTCGAAGCTAGTTTCGCAATGTTCTACTTCGGCACGCGGTTATTCCGACACTGATACTCTCGCACGCGCGGCGATTAGTGTTCCTTGATCTTTTCGATGCTTGATAGAATCGCGGATAAACGAAAAAGAGTTTTTGCGTTCGTTCAGCTTTCAAAAATTACATAAAACTGTTAATAAAGTTACATAATCGACGATACCTGGATAGACAGAGATACTAAACATAGCACGCAATATACTTAATGTATACTTTGCGATGCTATTATAACGGCACAATATGTTTGTAATATACTTGTTTTAAGAAATATCCATTTCTTTTTTCAATTTCTTACACCTAATTTATTTTATTTCTTATATTATAATTTCAATCACAATATTCATTTAGTATTGCTGTAATCGTTTTGAATTCATTGCGTCCCCTTCCCGGCAAAATAAGCAGTTATCTCATTGAAATATCACTGCGATGTTGCCGCAATTTTTATGATAAGATAATTTTTTTTATATAGGTTGTCCGATAATTTGCTATGGAGTCTTGGTTTACATGTAAATTAGGTCAAACTGAACATATAAAAGACCTATTGTTTTACAAATAACACGTAGATTTTTTTAGTTATTGATTAAAGAAGATTGGTCAAAGGTTATGCCCGCGATCGTTCAGCAATTTTTTTCAATCGTTATCTAAAAAATCTACGTTCTTTGCAAAATGATAGAGGACTTTTCTCTTTTTAGTTTAGACCAAATCTACAAGCGCTTAACGGCAAGTTGCCATTAGAATGCCATTACTCGTGCGCCGCATAACGCGCGATCATTTGTCAGTCTTTTTTAATTAATAATTCAAAATTTTACATGTTTGTTCGAAAAATGGTAGAAGAATCTTTTATTTGACCTGTTCTATCTGTACATTCCGTGGCTCCGTAGTGAATGTCGAACACTCTGTATATTAAACAAATTTTTATTGTACGAAGACGCGTCTTTACGTCTTACTTATGTTAGTCACCGAGTAGATAATATGTCGAAATATGTCTATCTGGGATGTCACAATACTTATTAGCGCGTTCTTACAGACTTACAAAATCCGATGCGTCCACACCGTGATGTCGTACGACGCGCACAGTCGTGCAGTCAATTATCCAAATTCTTTTTTGCAGCGTTGTAAATTGTTTAGCAATTGGTCGGTTGGTTGTTCTGCCGGAGCGTTAAATTCTCCACGATAATTCCATGCCGACAAGCACCGTCGCGCACACGCGGCGATCATCTACCTCCAAGAGCTACAGGATCTACCGCGGCTTAATAACGGCACAATGATGCGTGTCAAGGATTTAGTCTGCAGCACGATTATAATACATCGTTGACTATGTATTATAAAGTCCCGAGGACGAGTCCATTCTCTCCGAAAGGCATCCGGAGTTTCCCGCGTATTGTTTGGATCGACTTGTGCGTGAGGAATTGCGTAAAAACGTGAGTTCCTATTTACATTTCGCATCGTTGAAATAAGTACGAAAGAACGTGCTGCATACTACATCAGCGATACTAACTTTAGACTATTTCAGAAATCAACGGGCGGACTTGCTCCGAAACTGAGGACACTTCTGTCACGAGTCCACGAGGAGGATACGGTACATCGGCGAGGCGAGTCGGAGGGAATGCGCCTTCGCTATATACATCTTCGCGAGACGATGCGTCGCGACTGTCGCACTTAGATCGGATCGGTGTATTGGAATACGCGCGCTCTTTCCTCTCGACGTCGCTACCTTGTACGAGGTGCCAGTATTGCGCTCGACATCGCGCCGTACGGATCCGTCGGCATTTTTTAAGGATCCGTTGCTTCTCCACGATTAGCCGTCTTATCTTCTACCAGGAAGGTGCGCGATTTCTCTTTACTTCCTCCGATCTTTTTCGGTGCTTTGTCTTCTCTCATTTATTCGATTGCCGAAGTTGTACATATTCGGTTGTACTCCAAAATATATTTTGTCGCAAACGCGCGCTTGTCGAGACGAAGCCGAGTGTTGTTTGATTCGGAATTTTTTGCGTCGATCTGAAACTTGGGAATTTCGGTACTTAAACCATAACTTGCAAATTCTAATTTCTAAAAGTCGTGCAATTATCGACGACGAACGCTTCGCACATGTAAGTTACGTTGTATCATATCGAATAGCGATCAAAAGTTACGCTGCTTCTCGCCGCGAGCGCGATTTACGCGCACGTAACAACGAAAGAGCGACGCGACGTGGGAACCTTTTGGCAAACGGACTCGTCGATGGTTAGAGCACGTTTTGAATCATCGACGTGTACATCTATCGTCGACGATTCGTACGTACAGCCGTACATTACGACGCGTGTCGCGGAGTACTAATAACGTAATTTGTAAGTTCCTTTCAATAAGCTCCAAAGACCTTATACTGGACTAGGAGGTAATAGTTACCTGACCTCGATACACTTGAACCAATTTGTCCTTTCGTCGTGTGAAAACACTCATCGATCACTATTGCACGAAAGAATTAAATGCATTTTGCAAGAATATCGTTGTTGCAAAAATGTTTCGCGGTCGTCGTGCTTCTTTCTTTTGTTCGTGGATATTTTACATATACGTAAAAAAGCCGAGAAAAAAGTCGGAATTAATTTACAAATTATTATTTATTATAGTCGACTAATGTTTTTCCTGGATAAGATGGAACGTGAAATCAATTACAAACGGCGTTTTAACGGCCATAATGTACGTTTATATAAGAATTCTAATAATATTGCAATCTCATCTGATGGTTATTAAACGACTCATTACGTAAATTTATCAACAGAGATCTTGTATCACACCGGATAAATGTATATTTTGCAACAGAGTATTTCACACTAAGATTTTTTATTACGCGTGAACGCATTTTTCCTTTTACAGTTTTTTGTCTACCGATAATTAACTTATTTTCATATTCTAATTATACTGTGAAACTGAGACTGTAATATCGTGCGATTAAACGAAACGAGTAAATCGTTGCAAATGACAATTCATATGTAGAATATTCTAACATATTAGTACATGTAGAATATTCACATAACATATTAACATGTAGAATATTCATAACATATTAATATCAATGTCACTTTTCGTGACGTTAATTTATTCGTTTTAGTTAGTGAAAGTTAGTGGACACTTTTTGCAATGATCCGACCATCGCGACGGTCAAAGTTGCGATTTTCAGAGAGCACAAAAATATTCTATAGATATTCCATGAATATTATTTATGTATATTTGTATATTCTGTGAATGTACTAAAAATGTTGTATGTTAATAGTACGTTATTAGTATATTCGAATGATCAACTATAAATGTTCTATAAGTGCACATAAAATATGTAGGTTGATCATTGATTTTGCTTCCATAATTATAGAGGGATGATTTAAGTATTTAATTTCGAATACGTATTATGCGAAACTATTACATCATACGAAACTATAACAAATGCGTATTACTATTTTGAATGTTATGAAAACTTCACAGTTACATGAACGCAATTACATTGCGCAGTAAACAAACTGTACGATTGTTCTAAGAGAACATCTTTTTCTGTCATAAATATACGAATCTCTGTATATGTAATATTGAAAGTATATTTATAGAATATCATATTCGAATATCCTGAAATAAAAGATATTCGTATTTCATAAGAATATTTATGAAATGTTTTTGTGCTATCTGGGTTTTTGCAATGCAGATAATTCGATTGCGCCGATAACATTGTGGAAACGATAAAGCGGCATACCATATCGCCGTTCAATGTAAGCACTATTCTGCTCGTTTACACGCATGAGACTTGTTCATTCGATTGTTTTGAGAACTCATTGCGGTATGAATACCGTGTGACATTTCTCGAATCTTTACCGTTCGTGAGAGATTGCATATTGAGAAACGCAATCGACGTGTCACAGAAGTTGGTTTAATATTCGTGCCTTAAAAGAAGTGATATATTCATGATATAAGAATACAAGGTGAACCATTCCCGAAGATGCGCAGTGGTTGACCAATCAGAGATTGCCCCCAACTGCCTAGGTTAAATTTGATGTAAATATGGTTAGATTATTTCCATATGAAAAGTGTGTTTTTTGGGGGCAACATTTCATTGTTACGGTTGACTTCGGTTACGTCTTCGGTTGCTATTATGCGCAATAGTACACCTTGTATTCTTACATCATGGATATATTGTTGCTCGCGTTACGTGAAAGAATTCCATCGAGACTTTATCAAGCAGATTCCTTCCTTCTCATCCCGCTCTCTCTCTCTCTCTCGATTAATCTTCAGTTACACAAAGCTCTTTTATTTTTTCTTTCGTTATGAATAACTGATTGTTTCAAACAAGTTTTTCCAAGGCATTCGAAGACATTCTTACACATGCTTTCTTCGTTTTAAAGTAAAAATTTGTTTAGCATTCGCTCCTAATTAGAGAACCGTAAATATGCTCGCTAAGATTCTCTGTACGTTCGCAACCTTCCGCCCGTAGCACGTGTTGAACCTTGAATGGAGAACGTGTCCGTTTAGCATTACTAACACAGCCAACGGTTTTCGCGGTCAAAGAGAGTTATAAAAAAAGACACAAAATAGTAACCGTGCTTCCAAAGAAATGCCCTTTAATTTGTGCATTCTTTTGCGAAAAATCGTTGAAAAGCCTTTAAACCGTTGGAAAATTTTTCAAATTCGTTGATTTTAAGTTGATCTTAAGATGATCTTAAAATCTTAAAAAATACTTGAAAATTTACTTCTAGTATATAAAGTTTATTCACATTCTTCGTCGAAATTATTCAAGTTCGTTGATCTTAAGTGGACTGAGAAAATAAATACTTGAAAATTTATTTGTTATAAAGTTTATTTGTAGAAGTAAACTTCAATTCACAAAAAAATTTTTTTGCATAAATAGACTTTATATTCCACAAATAAATTTTCAAGTATTTTTTCTCAGTGTACAGATGCTTCAGATTTAGTTGGTTTTCATAGTAAAGCGATCAAACTGTGGAACAATATTTCTTATTAGATCAAGCTAATACAAAAACTCCAGGACATCGCACATTCTAAATATTTAAAAACACTCTAAATATCTGTGTGTGAATCCATTAAATATTTTTAACACTGACGTTTCTTCGTAATTTTTTGTCACATAAGCGGACATTATTTCCTATGAAAATATTTCCAAGAAAACGTTCATTTGCGATCCAATTAAATAGAGAGAGAGAGAGGGGGGAGAGGAAGAGAAGTAATAGTTAATGCTCACTCACTTCCGCGAGGTTCGCCAATGTGCGAGTTATGCAATTAGAACAGTAATGGTCTTTCCTCTCAACGCCGTCAACAACCGGCAATTTTGCGTTAATTGTGGTACTCTGTCTTATAATTCGCGACGTACGATACAAAGGTATTCGCGGCACTGACACATTGAAGAAGTTGTCGAGGAAAACAATGATAATATCACAAAATGGCATTGCAAAATTGCTTGCGCTTAAACGGCAAACAAAATCGTGCTGTCACATCGACACGCGGCGAAGTCGAATTAATATAGCGTTCTGCGGATGTGTAATTTCATTAACGCGACGATGATTCGCTGGAGAATTGCGAAAATCGATTATCTCGAGGATAAATATTTGCACGTACGACCACGACTCGTGGTGAACGTTTCACGAATTTAATTTCACGAGCGGAAGTTGACGTACGGCGTATACGCGCGCGCCGACGTCGAATGTATTGTAAAACCGTTATGTAAAAGTCGTGACATTCGTATCGACACGGCATTTTATGCCATGGCCGTCGGATTTCTGTAACGACGATGACACGGCCGGTCAAATTAATGGGTTGCGTTGCCGCCGCGAGAGAGTGCCGCGTCGTCGCGATTGATACGACGGAAAAAAGATATGATGCACATAATGAGACGTATTTAGTTGCGAGCGACACAGTTATATCATCCTAGTTATCTTTGAGTTAGTAATAGTAATGTGTACGGTTGATATAACTCAATTACTTTGGCACATCAACTACATCCGACGTAGTTGCGCGTGATCTGATTGTGGCAACCAGAAATCGGCTGGGCTGACATTTACCATGGCTACACTCTGGTTGGAGCAACCAGGTATTGTCATTGTAACTCAACGATTGCTCTGTGGTTACAGTAACCACATAATTACTTGTTCTGTATTTTACTATTGAATCTGATCGGCATAGCCAGATTTATGTGTAGACCAACCATACTTTTTTGTCCGTGTACAGTTGATCTGACTCAGTTGCTTTGATACATCAACTACATGGATATAGTCGCACGTGATTTGGTTATGGTAAGCAGAAATCGATAAAATTTGACATTTACTATAGATATATTCTAATTAGAGCAACAGATATCATCACTGCTGTAACATCATTGACTCAGCAATTTCTCTGCGGTTACAGTAATCACATGATTAGTTGTTCTGTATTTTACAATCTGGCTGACATAACCAGGTTGACGTGGGCCAATCATTCTGTTTCTCCCGTGTACAAATTTGGAATTGCGAGCTATAGGACGTGTCGTATTTTTGCACAGGAGGGATCATTTATATCGGAGGAATTTTTATAATTGTTTCTAGGTAGAGACACGGAGAACGCAGTAGTGACAAGTACGCGACGGAAATGTGCACGATACAGACTGAATACTTCACGATCAATTAATCGTCAGATCCAAACACATATACGTGTGCATGCGCACGCTACGATACGTCAAGATGTTAATGCTGAAGAGCTGCTTCAGGAGGATCAGCAAGGACTTCCGTCAGAAGGAGCTGATGCCTCTGAAATTGATATTCTTCGTCCAGTCGTCCAGTGAGTAATTTTGATTGACGGCCAAATTGCGCGCTTTTCCACCGTATCTTTGTTGCAACTAACTAATGCCTGGGTAAAATCAGACGCAAAATCTCCGTCGGGATCGACGCTTTCAACGTTATAACGAGAACTATGGTCCCGCTTTAGCACTCTTCGTGCTGTATCCGTACCTGACTATACACATGAGAGAACTGGGAATAAATGTGGAAGAAACCGCGATAATGAGCTCTATCACACCTCTCGTGTCGATGGTGATGCCGCCGCTCGCCGGTATGTTGGCCGATCGAATAGGAAATTTCAGGGTAAGTGATTTTCCAAAATAATTGACTTTCGTAATGCTGTGCGTGTCGCGGCATGTAATACGGGGGTTGACTTTCTTCGACGCGAGACGTTCCCGCTACGTTGCGCAAAAACTTCTCTCGCGTATCGTTTGTTTCTTTTTATTCTTTGCGTTATGCTGTTGTACGTTTAACCTTTCGAATGCTGTGGACTCATATATACATCCGGTAACTGTCATCGGTATGGACTGTAAATGCACGTATGCCCACAACGAATTTCTTCAGCCTATACACTGAGAAAAAAGATCTGAAAATTTATTTGCGAGATATATAAAGTTTATTTCTGTGAACATGTATGTGAAGTTTATTTCTGCGAAATAAAGTTTTATTCTTTACACACACAAATAAATTTTCAAATATTTTTTTCGGTATATACTTTCGACACATACAACGGTTATCAACTGCGATGCGCACTTGGATTTATGATCTCTTTATTTTCTCTTTCTTAGTGATCTCTTATTTTAGTGACTGTAATAAATCAGGTTTAAAGTAAAAGTACTAATTCCTGAATACACGTACTTAATTCTGAACGTTCTTTTTGTTTTGATCTTTAAATACTTTAAAGAGAAATATTTAAACTTTTAACATAAAGTAGACAAACACACATATACAGGGTGTCCGGTAACTGATCGAGCAACCATCGTGTACGGGTAGAACGGGTCAAAATAATCATAAAAGTTATATACCATTTTTAAATTCTCTCAATATTTATTCCGTAATTAATTAAAATGTATAAACGAATGAGCTCACGAGAAGCGGTAGGACAGGCTCTGTGTGTAAAAGAAATGGTAGTAACGATAATAGATACTCTTAGTAACGATAAGTAAACAACTGATTTCGAAGTGGAGTAACGTATACGTATCGCTTGTTACTTCGTCTCGAAATTAGCTGTTTACTCATCGTTGCTAAGAGATAAGCCATTTCTTTTACACACAGAGCCTGTCCTTCCGCTTCTCGTGAACTTATTCGTTTATACATTTTAATTAATTACGGAATAAATATTGAGAAAACTTCAAAATGGTATATAACTTTTATGATTATTTTGACCTGTTCCACCTATACGCGGCGGTTGCTCAATCAGTTACCGGACACCCTGTATACAGGGTGTCTCGAAACTACCGGATGTTATTTTAATGGCAGATTCTTTAGAACATTTTAAAATGAAAACTTTCATACAAAAATGTCGAGGCTATAATAGTTTTCAAACAGGAAGCGATTATATTTCACCAATAATAGGGCTGAGATTTCGCGCGCTCAGGCACGTCGAAATGACAAGTGATAAAGGTGCTCCTATGAATGTCATTTTTTTTACGATATTATGATTATTATATAAATTTACAATAACATTGTCTAATATGTTTTACCGTTTTTCTACGCATTACATAAGTATATTTTTTATACGAATAATAGTTGTAAGACTTCTTAAATATGATTCAAGTAAAAATGAAATATTTAACTTAATCTGTTAAAGTGTCGATCAATTATTACCATAAAGGTGTCCGCTATTCTATATAGCGTGTGGCACCTTTATCATTTGTCATTTCGACGTGCCTGTAAATGTGTGTGTGTGTGTGTGTGTGTGTGTGTGTGTATGTGTGTGTGTATATATTTTATATATACATATATATATATATATATATATATATATATATATATATATATATATAATACTTTTCAAATTATAAACGATTAAAGTTTACCAGTTATATTGGCTAAAGTACGCGCGCTCAGGTATGGTACAACACACAATGGTACAGGTGCAAGCACATAAGTGAGAATTTGCATAAGATATGAAATTAGTTGTAAATTCCTGAAAGAAACATCAAATGTGTGATAGCTTATTGATTCTCATAAATATATTGTGTGATATTTTATTCATAACATTTTGACGAAATTATTATTTGCGATATGTTTATTTAAATGATAGAAAAGGCAGATTATTATTATATACGTTGTTGTATGTATGGAACTTCCGTATCAATATTAGTAAAAGAGACATGCACCTGTACCATTGTGTGTTGTACCGTACCTGAGCGCGCGTACTTTAGCCAGTATAGTTGGTCAACTTTAATAGTTTATAATTTGAAAGGTATTATAGCCTCGCCATTTTTGCATTAGGATTTTTTTATTCAAATTACCTCAGGAACCCGCCCTTAAAAGATAATGCGGTAGTGGCGGAACACCCTGTATATATATTCGATATATGTATATATATTTTATGTTGAGTTATGTGTTTAAATATTCGTATTTAAAGGTCAAAACAATAAGAATACTCAGAGTTAGGTACGCGTTCAGGTATTGGTACTTTTACCTTCGTTTGTCTCGGTGCATTGCTTTTCAATTTCTCGAGAAGTTATTTCTTTCACCGATTGACGTACGACAACTCAAAGTATTCCATCCTCAGTGATCGTTTAGCTCTAAAGTAATCCACAGTTAAAAGATTAATCATGTATACATGTATCATGTATACATATTTGCATAGCCATCATTAATCTATTCTTCTTTTGGCAGATTTTACTGTCGGTGTTTTCCGCGTTCGGCGGTTTAGCGGCGTTATTGCTGTTGTTAGTGCCGATCGGCAGAGTGACAGTACATTTCCCTGAGAGGATAGTCATGGACCTCGGTTGTCAAGGTGGAGGTGGTCCGTTACTTCACACAATGAGCCAGACTCATCCGTGCGAGACAAAATTAGAATCGGAGATCGCTGTCACGGTAGAAAGTTGCGGGTGAGTAAAAAATCTAATTACGCGTCAGCGTAAGTTAGCTGATCGACTGATTACGTGAGCCAATAACGGGACGAGGAGAAAAGTTTAGCAAATTTCCATCTTTTTTCACGGCATACTTAAAGATTCCTGAAGAAAGATACATCACGCTCGTTTATTCGCCTCAACGTTAATTTCAATGACAAAAGGCAGCGTGTCGAGGAAGATACGGTTATCGCGAACGGTAATTTCGGACAATCGCGACAAAAAGCTTTAATGCGCACACACATATGTATATGTATGTCTACACACGTATACGAGTGTCTTGTCTTCCTGTTTGTTTTGTTTCAGCTTATGCGCGGCTAATGCTCCACGAATTTCTTGTAACTTTGCTAGCTGACTTTCAATGATAAAAGATTGAATCGTATTCAATCTTTCTAAATCGCGATTGACGTGTATACTGCTTTATTCGATCCGTTTGTCTCTAAGAGTATTAATAATCGTTATTTCAAACTTGCCTCAAGTGAGATATGCAGATTTAAATTTAGAGTTAGATGTAAGTGTTTTAGTTGAATCGCGAATATAACTCACATTATATGATTGATACATACAATGATACATTGCACACAACATACGTATCAAAGATGTCTTAAAAGAGCCCAAAAGATATCTTAAAGATGTCCCGAAAATGTCTTTGAAACATGCGTTGTATAAAATATTATATGATTCAGATGAAAAATTTAAATTCAATTCTAAGATCTGTATTAATAGTTGTTACTTGAAACTTATCTCAAGTGAGATACTCAGGTTTTTATACAGAGTTAAATCTAGATTTTTTAGTTAAATCACGATTACAAATATAATGTAACATACATATTATATAATTTAACTAGAAAACTTGAATCTAAATAAAAATTGGTACCCATCAAACTTATCTCACGTGAGATACACAGATTTGAATTTAGAGTTAGATCTGAAATCAGTTAAATCATATAATATATCCCTTATAGAAATATCATACTAAGAATCATTGATAATTACTTATTTTCAGTATTAAAAATACTGGATAATAAGTAATTATCAATGATTCTTAGTATGATATTTCTATAAGGGATGCGACATTACATATTTGTAATCGCGATTCAGCTAGATAATTCATGTCTAACTTTAAATTCAAACTTGAATATCTTATTTGAAACAAGTTTTAAGTAACTACTATTAATATGGACTTAAATTTGAATCTAAATATCTCGCGTGAGATAAGTTTCAGGTAACGACTATTGATACGAGCCTTGAATATCAACGATTTTTTCATCACGCAGATTCGTGTGTGACGTGAAGACGGGCAACGAGACGGATCGAGATTTAGTACTGAAATCGAGGGTTTATACGATCAAGCATTACAATCTGCAGACCGGCGCTAATATTACGTACAAATACACCGTTGCACAGAACGACCTGCCAGCGGTACGTTACACGTTTGCGCGCTACATGTATGTTAACGGGTTGTCTCTCACGCTGAAGACACGATTTCTAAAATCATGTTACGAATAAGCGGTCTGCTGAAGGTAGACATTGGTCACTCTGCGCGTAAGAGAACTTCAATGCGCGTATATTATTTTCCTGACATCGCCTCGCTAATGAACATATTGTCGTATTGTACTCATTCGCAGAATGTTGGCCAGCAAGAAGACATGAGAGAGAATCGACAATTGAGGAACAACGAGTTCTTCAAGACTTCCATCCGTCAGGTTTCTAAAAATCGCTATTTTTTCCCGACGGATCAGCTCTATCAGTTCTCATGTATTCCGTCGAAACACGTCGAGGATTTTGGTAACTTTTCGATCGATACGTTGCATGAAGTATACGGGAATCGTATTTCGTGCACGTTAGGCCATCTGATCAAGCCGAAGGTATGAAAAGAGATCGACGTTATAATGTAATAATAATGTACGCATTATGTATCTTATGGTTTTCCAGAATTCCGATCGAACGATAAATTATCATTTATATAAATCGAAGATCAAGAGTTTGCAGTTGGACGAAGAGGATCGGCAAGAGGAGCAGCAGAAATATCTGGCGGAAGAAATATCCTGGTCGGGCGAAGATTTTCGAAAACTTACCTGTGATAATCCGGATTCCACAGACACTCGAATCGTGATAGATACGCAGCTCGATGATCACGATAAAAATCTGGAAAGCAAACGAGTCTTGAACACGAACGAGTGTAGCAAAAGATGCATAGTTACTGTACCTCGCAACGCGATGTGTTCCAATATGAACATGGAGATCGAATACAATGTAAGCTTGACGTTCTGGCTTTACCTCGTCATTAGAGTATTCATAGGTCAGTACACGATGCATCAACGTATCCCGCAACTGTCCTTCGAGATAAAAATTCTCTTTATTCTTTTAAAGTGAATCAGTGAATGGTCACTGATATCAGTTATACCACTGAGCACTTTCAGTGCAACACTTATAACTGTAAATCAGTGTATATTCACTGTTTTCAGTGATGTTTCATTGATTCATTTTAAAAGAGTAATTAGCTTATCTTGATTCTCGCGTGATACTTTGTTCCGATAGAATGAATTTTACAACGTTATTAAAAGAGTTTACTTCCTTTTCTCGTTTCAGGTATTATCGGTGGCACGACTTTCGCGATGTTCGAAGGTGCCGTAATAGCGATATTGCGGGAACACGAAGCGGATTACGGCCTTCAGAGGATTTACGGTAGTATAGGAGGCATGATTTCCTCGCCCTTGTCGGGTCTTCTTATAGATTATGCTAGCAGGGGAAAGAGTTACACCGATTTCAGGTAATTCGATCGCGACGTGTGTATATTCCTGCGATTTTTATACAAAGATATTAGACTCGTTGAACTTAGCGAATCTCTTCCTTCAGACCAGCGTTCTACTTGTACGCGGCATTGAAACTCGCATCAGGTTTCCTCATGTTGCTGATCAATTTAGAATTTAAGGCGCCGTCCACAAATGTCGTGCGCGACGTCTTCACTGTATTGCGAAATATCGAGACTGCTGCGCTCTTTCTTGCTTGCTTTGTTCTCGGTAAGTGTTTTTGTACTCTTCAATATTAATCAAATAAAATAATTCAAAGGTCTATAAGAATCAATACACCACACACATTATTACAGGTATTACAGTGTAATCAAAATAAAAATAATTTAATTTATTAGAGAGATATAGTCAAGAAATAAAATATATATTTGAAATTTTATCTGATTGAACACTAAAGAAGTTTGCAAAATTGATTTATATGTTTAAAACGCAGAAGGAAAATGTGTTCTACTATTCTACTATCATTTATTTCTATCTTTTCAATTTTATGTCACTGTTATTTAGTGAAACGCTCCACAAACAATTAATATTTTTATCTATTAGTCTGTTCAGTAATAATGCTTACGAGTGTTTATGTTCTGAATATCTCTACTACTAAAGATGTTTTGAAGTAGGATCGAAAGATTTAAATGAATTAAATAAATAAATATATATATATATATATATATATATATATATATATATATAATAATATATTTAATTTTTTTACTATCTTCTTTTAGAAATTATATTTTTGTTTTTTATTATATTATAATATTTGTGACTCTCATAAATTCTTGAATTATTTTTTATTGGACATCAAAGAGTCTCATAAAACTTATTTATTTGTGTAATATTAATTATAATTATATAATTATTGATTAAAGAGGAACATTCGCATCTCCGTTTGATAAACGTATTTTCGTCACGTCTTTAGCAAGTAACTCAAGCAAATTTAATTATGCAGAGTTTAATAAAAGGGAAAGGTCTTGATAGGCACAGCCTGGGGATATATCGAGTCATTCCTCTTTTGGCTGATCCAGGATTTGGGAGGATCTAGATCACTCATGGGTATCACCATAACTGTCGGCGGTATCGCCGGCATACCGTTGTTGGCACTCTCTGGGCCAATAATATCGAAAATTGGTCACGCGAACGTACTCTTCATCGGATTTGTGTTCTATGCCGTCAGGCTTTGCGGTAAGTGGTTCAGTTATTACTCGGTGACAATTCGAGTAATGTGTAGTTTACACAGTAATGTGCAGAACACGTACGAACGCGTTTAGAAGCATAATGAAACACTTCCTGCGCAGGATATTCCTTGATTTACAATCCTTGGCACACTTTGATCTTCGAAGCATTGGAGTCAGTCACGTCGTCTCTCAGCTTTACCGCAGCCGTCACTTACGCGGCGAAATTATCAACTACGTCCACCGACAGCTCAATACAAGGACTGCTTGGTGGTGTTTATTACGGAGTCGGTATGTTCATTAAAATCTTTCAGCACGTAATAACGATTGAATTCAGTTGAGTAAAACTCGTTTAATTTCTTAATTTACAGGAAAAGGTTCCGGAAGTCTGATCGGTGGTTATTTAATGAAGGCTTTCGGCACCAGACCTACCTATCAGATTTTCGCGGTGATAACTTTAGTGACCGGCATAATATATTTCATATTCAATGTGGCTTATTTGAAGAAGCGACCACAGGTCGAAGGCAACGATATCGTGAAGAAGAAACCAAAGCCTACCGACGTGAAAAGTAGCGAGAAGCACACGAACGATATCAATCTCGAGGAAAAACCGCAGCTTAAAGAAATCGAAAAGAAAAGGGAAGATAACTCGGTGAAGAATGACGGTATTGACAATGGAGGATTTTTGAAGGAATTGTCGACAGAAACAAACGAACAAAATTCAAATCAGATAGAAGCTATTAAAAACGCCAAGAACGTTAACAAAACTAATACAACTCCGATCAGTCAACACGAGAATAAATCGACCAGGAAAAGCGATACGTCTCACGTCAAAAATGAGAAGAGCAGTGCTCGCGAGAACTCTTTCACCAATCCGAACTTTGAGGCCGACAAGTCGGATCAGTGCGAAATCACAGTGGAGAGCCAGCGGGTAGACGACAAGCGTGTCGATTGACCTAGCTTCCTAGCTGCATCGAAGCGATAGTCAATTATAACGAGCGTATGTATCATAATCGAATCATACAATCTCACTATCGTACAAATCAAAGAGAAATCCGTTAAATGCATTCGCGTCGGTATTATTGATGCATTGTAACATATCAGTGTGTATTCAAAGATCACATCCAAGCTCAGATCTCGTCTTAATAATAGTTCCCGTGGCATATAAATCATCGGAGTTTGTTTTTGCTTTACGATATTTATTGAAATCGTAATGTACGTTGAGAGAATAAAAAGAGAACACATGTTATACGTCACACACATACACGCTTAAGAAATGTAGTATTTTTTGTTCCTTGAAATGTTATCTTTATAAACGTAAACAACGTATCAGGATCGCATTATCTTTCTGTTTCCTCATGTCGATAATGGGAGACAATCCGTTTTACTTGTAATATATCAGATTATGTACCAGAGAGCGTACACTCTCATAACGGATCGTTACGGTTTGTAAAGTGAATTAGAGCGATTTTGTCAGGCGTCATTTCTTCTCGTTAGCATGACTGCACCGGCTGGATATGTTTTGTCGTCGGGACCGTCGAAATCGACGCTTCGACGGCCGCGAGCACCAATTCCGTTGCGATTTCGCGTCCACTCGGCTGCAAATAGGTAACGAGAAACGATATATTGTCCGTGACGCGTGAGAGTCGACACGACTGGAAAAGCCGAAGTCACGCTAAAGCGACAACGCTGAAGTTCACGGACAATACATTTTCGACAGTTGCGAGCGGTACTTACAGTTACAAGTCTATATAGAGGACACCGGCTTCAGGATCACGGCCATTCATGTTCGACTATCAGCGAGTATGTTACGTATTTTAATTTTGCTTCTCTTTCCACGCCTGTTTACCGCCACGGTGCCGTCGGGAGTAACGTCATACACGAAAGTATCGAGAAACGGCCAGCTAGCGAGAAGCTCTCACGATTCTTTCTCGTGGATCAGCAGGTGCGTACTTTGAGAACAGTTCACCTCGTATACTATATTTTTTTGAATAATATTAAACGAGTTTTCTTTTGTTTGAATTTCAAATACAAGATGAACTCTAGTTGAATAAAATATTCTTGAAGCGCTTTCCTGCACGAGAGAACCGAATTTAAATTTGATTTATACACTTCAGGACTCAAGTGAGAAACGATACGAAAATGGACAACGAGGATAAGAATATAAGTGACATTGTTATCACAGTATCGCCTGTGTATGTCACGCCCAAAACTCCGAAGTTGAAGAAAGGTGAAGCGATCGACCACCCAGTCGCTCCCAGGTAAGGAAGGTTTGGTTTACATATCAATACAAATAGTTACTAGTATTCTTTATTAATAATCTATTGTGTTTGTGTATGCAGATATTCGACATTGGATCATGAAATGATAGCTAAGCTAAATGCAGGCAAAAAGCAGATTCAACAACGATTTAATCCACCTGCAGTATTCGACGTGTCCACGAATGATAGGCCGCAGAACGGAAGACCGCAAAAAGGAGCGAGTATATCGAATTCAGGAAGCTTCAATGTATCCTCGTTTCCTGGTCCAATTTCGTTTGCCATGTATGAGTACAGCCCACCAGAATTTCTCGAAGACAAGCCGACGTCCAAGCCAATGATCAGCGTTTCGAAATATCCATCTATGCCAACGGACGATAAGGTATATGCTTCATAAATTTATAATGTAATTATTGCTTGATAAATAGTTGAATTCTAAATAATCTCACTTATTAATTTGATGTACTTAAGTTGATCAATCGCTTCGATTACATTAAATTTAAGCAAAACTGATTTTAAAATAAATGTCCTAATGATTGAACTAATTAAGAAAGCGTGATCAATTTTACATGTTTATCAATAAATACTCAATTGAATTATTAACAAAATTAATAATAATAAACTAACGTTTATACAAAACTTTTATTTGTCAGCAATCGAAAAATAATAGGAGATAAAACAATCAATAAATATCAATCATAATTTTAATGACATATTGGATAGTGCCGATTATACTAATAATTAAACTGAAAAATAAATTACATCTTGATTAGTGAATATTACAGATTCATTAATTGAAAGATCGTGAAATAATATTACAAATTAGATAAAAATATATCTTTTAACAAAACTTCAAAAACTTCTTTAGAGAAATATTAAATATAAATATAATACATATTAATCATATTGAGACAAAGTTCAGTTACTAGGACATTTATCTTGTTTCACGAATAAAGTGCGTTTCAATTTTGCATTGATAAAAATACAAAAGTATAGCAAATGCGAAATACGTTCTCACAATCTATTTCTATCTTTCGCAGATGCCGAGCGGTTATCAAGCACCGTCGAGCAATTATCACGTCGATGATAGGCCAGAGATGAAATATCCTAACTTTGATGTCGCGTCTTCGTACGAGAATAACGAGCCTATGAAGAAGCCCATGAAATTCGCCAACCATCACGAACGCCCGTTTCCATTTGTGGAGGACTCGTACGGGCACGATCATCACGATTTTCATCACGAGGTGATCTACGATCACTTGCCCGAGTACCACGAGCATCATGTCGAGCACACGACGCAGGAGCCGCCGGAAATGAACGATCAGCGGCTCGACAAGCGGCCTTATTCGTATTACTTCATAGGGAAGAAGCTCTGGTATGTACCGCTGTACTTTAGCATTTATTTCATTATATACATAGCGGCGCTCGTGCTGAAGAGCATCGCTAGGCATAAGATCAATTTCCCGACGACCCTGGCGGAGGCTGCGGGTCATTCTGCGGGTCATTCTGCGGGTCATTCTAAAAGGAGCGAGCCGGACGAGGGCTGGTGGAATTTTGCCGGGAAGATACTCGAGGGGGTAGAACGATTCGCCGAGATGTCCGGTAGTAAAGATTTTTAAGTAAACGTCGTGTAAAATCGCTCATCGTAAAAGTTCAGGCTACCGATCTACCGAATGCTCACTCTTCGAATACTCCCGTTCGAGTGGAGGGAGCACTGATTGTCGCAGTGGAGCATACGATATAACCCGATTAGGTGTGGCAATTAATTTATAAGGCATGTAACGTTAACGCGATCATTGAATGTAGGACATTTGAATGTAGGATGTTGAAATTCAGAGTTAGGTAAGAGTTAGTTTTTGTTTAAAATTATATTAAGTTTAAAGTTAATAGCTCTTAAATTAAGTTAGTTTACGTGTAAAGTTACACAAACACAAACTAGATTAAAAAGTTAACATTAAATTAATTTATTAAAATTAAAAGTTAATTATGCAGAACGGTGTATATGTTTTTGCATAATTAACTTTTTCATTAAAGATTAAATTTGCGAATTATTAATGAAAAGATAGTCTTTTATAAAAAAAAATACCAACTGTTTTATGCTCAGTGCATTCCATACAAGAAAAGTATGCTGGCGCTTAGAGAGGCAAAAAACTTGCCTTATTATTATAATTAACTTATTATTATAACTAACTTATTATTTTCTTTTCATTTTTTTCATTGTTAACATTTCGCAATGATTTAGGTACTGATGGATTATTTTAACTTATATAAAGGAAAAAGTTAATAAATTAAAGTTAGTACATTTTAAGATAACTAGTTTAAGTTACGAGCTTACAAGCTTACAAGCTTATTTTGAAACAACTAAATTAAGAGTTAACTATATTAATTAAATAAATAAGTAAAAGTTATAAACTTCTTAACAGTTTGACTTAACTTTTAATTAATTAACTAGCTGTCACCCAATCCTGTTTAAGTTAATCCACGATAATTATGTAAAAGGTAGAAGTACGTCGTTTAGGCTTAAGTGGAATGTACGTATACCTCGAGATAAATAGGCAAAGAGAAAAAGGCATGGGAAGAAGGAATCGTGTATGATGACACAGTCGTCTTTATTGTTTCCCGCACCTACTGTTCTTTGTCTATAATTGATTGATTGATTTCCAGCGTGCGAGTTAACCGCCCGCTTCCGAATAAACGCAATACTTACGATGTTGTCGATTAATTCCCGGTGTCACGACGATGTATTTCCCCTTAGCTCTATCTCGCTCTCGGAGCCGCTCGGATTCGTTGCTGTACTCGAGCTCTCGTCGCGTCTAATGTGCGCGTGCTGCAAGCCGAGGCTTTCAGCACGTTGTCGAAGCAATTTGCGTAAACGGCGCACGGCTCGAGCGAACGTTAACGGCAGAACGGTATGCAATTATCGCTGATTTAGAATATCGTTTCAACGGTACTGTCCTAAGAACGTGCTAATTATTCGACGATCTGACTGACCAGTTGCAATAAAAACAATTTCTTACTTAGTGCGACTTAGTGCGAGAGCGCAACGCGTCCGAGCGGGCCTCGATGTGTTTTCCATTGACGTGTCCAAATTGAAATCGATAGTTCACGAGCGTTTAGCGAGTATCGGTCGGAGCTCTCGTAGTAGCACGTACCGTGTTAATTACGTAATAATTCTAAGGGTATCGCGGCTCCAAATCACGTTGCGTCATGCGGAAGCGTGAGCGCGGATCATCAATGAAACGTATCGGCTCACGACGGTAGCTATTCGCCGAGCGACGACGACGCGCGAAATCTGTAACAATTAGGGCTGTTAACGCTGTCGGATTTGCTTAACGTTACCGCCGATACAGTTACCATGCACCGGACGCCGGTGTGGAGTATCGAAACTGGGTCCGAGGATCGTTCAGTACCACGTCGGACGCTACGACCGCAGGTTTTCCGTCTCAAGGTTTTTTCCCGCGCCACTTTCCAAGTGTCAAACCACCAACGAGACCGTTCCCGGGAAAGTAAATAATATTCAGCGAGGAGGGCGGAGGAGTAAAGCATCTTCTCTCTCTTTCTTCGTCGTCAAGATCTCAGGACCGGGTGAAATGTGACGACCGTAGTGGGATGGTGTATATCTCGTGTGGCAAGCGCAGGAGGCAAAGCGCCTACGATACATCACGGATAGTAGTTGCGACGATAGTTCCTCGCGGAGTTAATGATTAAAAAATTTAAAATGGGTCAGTAACTGCTAGAGAAAATTGCTTGAACATTTATTTGTGAGGTACCAAGTTTATTCACAAAAATAAACTTTATTTCACAAAAGCAAACTTTATATCCCATAAATAAATTTTCGAGTATTTTTCTCTCGGTGTAGCTGCAGTAAGAAGAACATTAATGTGAAATATCTGTGAAATTATGGCGTGAAATAAATGTTTGCGCGCACGGATAATGAGTGTTTCTTAACATATACCGCTCTAAACGAATAATATTTTTATTAGATTTTTATTTCTCAGAAACAACACCCAGCCGATTAGCTTGCAAGTTCGTCCTACTGTCAATCTGCATCTACCACGCCTCCGCCGAATCGAGCATCGAGAATGCGGAATCAATTTCGGAGACGGGAGCACCCGGGGAAAATATTGAGCTGACCACGATCGCGCAGACTATCAGGTGAGAGATTTTTCCATTCTGTTCACCACTCTATCGCTCTTAGTGGTGTCAAACGATTGAGACTTTTCCGAGTCTCCATGAAGTCTTCTACGAAGAAGTATGAGAGAAAAGGTCTGGCTGATAACAGTTTGAGTCAATTAACGTGGATTAATCGTCCGCGTTTAACCCGCAGACGAAGCAGAGCCTACAGACGTGGTTACAATGCCAGAGGGGACAACAATGATTACCAAGACGATCATTACAATGATAATATGGACGATCACCCGGACGATGAGGACGATCATGGTCACACGAAGGCGATAAGTCAGCCTAAGGTCGATTACTGGGCCGGTTACTACGATTTTCTCATCAATGAAGGGAGCTACAAATTTTGGGCCGTTTTTCAGGTAATCCAAAAGCAATAATCAGCGATTCAGAGTTGAAGCAAAATGTGCATTTTGCAGGTAATCGATTTGCGACTTAAACTCATTCGTATTACTGTCTGCCTTAGCTCGCCACCGCAGCCTTGCTAATCTACAGCAGTTTCGCGGCTCTTTACTACGCGAAAGTGAATCCGCCGACCACAGACGACGATTTCGACGATATATTTCGCCGGCGACGACGACGACGACGAAGGAGACGCCGTTCGCTTCCCCTCGCGGCGCGCGACAGGCCTTTTGTCGGATTGGACGCCGTCACGTTTCAGAGGATAGTCGAAGCCGCAGACGCCGAGCGAGCGCGTTGATTTTATTATGGTCGTTTCTTTAACAGAAGCGTGAAAGGACTTGATACGAGGACGGTAAATCGAAGTAGATCAGCGAACGATCAAACATTGAAGCGTTTCAACGAGCACTCGGAAATATATTATTTACATATTCGGGTGTTATTTTGCCATTTGCATATTCGTCTTTCATTGAAACGGAAAGCTGTACTTTGGAAGAAAACGGATCGATGTCCAAAATATCAAAGCTGGTGATAAGAGCTGAGATCGCTGCTTTTTAAAGTACAGAATTAATCCAACTGTTCTTCAAAAAGGAAAGACTGCTTTTAACCCTTAAGTGATGTGGCAAAATGCAAATCATATCATGATTAACTTAAGGAAATTAATTAATTATTTCGAACATGAAATTATAATTCGATATACTTTCTACATTTTATTTTTATTTGTATCTTATATGTTTCATGCACTTCATCTTTCGTATATTTCATTATTTTTCTAAATTTGTGTAGCTTTTACAACCAAACATGTTTCAGATCGAAGATAAAAAGTTCTTTTAAACGCAATAAACGTGTGGTTCAAGCGGTATTTCCGCTTATATTGCATTAATTAAGGGTTAATCGACAGAAAATCGGAAAGAGACACGACGTAGTTGTTATCGATTAAGTAATTTTGAAAGTTACTAGACGAACTAGAGTGTATATAGTTTCACGTGTGTGTGCGGCGTGTGTGTTCGTGATTAATTAGTAATCGCGGAGTACGACTTGTGTTTACATTTGCGGCTTGAGGTATCTACGAAGTAAGATGTGTGCAATCAAAAGAGAGCCGAGAGGGTTAATCGGACGGAAAGTAATGAGAGCGAAGGAACAAATGGGCCGCGGTTGGTGGGCATTTCTCGCTTTGAAAGGTGGCCGAGGCTCGAGCGAACGACTTTTGGCGACGGCTCGAGTGTGTCACGCTCAGCTCGGCCAGAGCGACCACGAGCCGAAGGGCCGACCGTGCGCGCGGCGGTGATCGGTAAATATATGCGTGCGACGGGATCAAAACGTAATAAAAATCTCCCGAAAAAATGTCGACCGATAAATCAAGCGTGGCGCGGCGAACCGCAGCGTGGCGCGGCGAACCGCAGCGTGGACCGTCGCACGATGCGATGCGATGCGGTGCGGTACGATGCCATGCCATGCCATGCGATGCGCCTCACCTTACACGCAAACGCGTACGCATATATACATATATATTTTTTTTATACATAGCTACACATATACACGCGTACATTCGCAATGCGCGGCGCGATACGCGCGCATCGAAGCTCAGAGGCAAATTTCCTTGTCGAACGACGCAACGTAACGAGAGACCCTCGAGCGACTTTTCGGAGTGTCAGGGGCGTATGTGTGCTGTATCACTCGATCTGCCGAATCTGCTGCTGAACGGTGCGACCTGAGGGAAATGTTCGACTGTCGACATAAGTACGGCCGACGAGACATCGACTCTTCCGTCTGTATTTCCGGCGGGCAGCAAGAGGATGAGAGAAATGGAGGAAATTGGACGGAAAGCGCGAGCGGACCGCGCGATACGGCCCTGCGAGGATCACCTACAGCATCTCGCTGATGCATTCCGCCACGTAGTCAGCTGCGAGGTATACCTTAAGAGCGAGCACGACGATCTTACGACGGCCGGGCACCGGGTGCCCGGTCCCATCCACCCGAGAGCTACCATTTCGGAGGGGTGAGCACCGTGGGCCCCCGTTCGTTCCTCCTTTTTTCCCCCGGTCGGAAATTTTACAGATAAATCTCCGACGACGAAGGGAAACCGGGCGAGGGATTACGCCCCGCTCCGAAATCCAGACCGCGGGCGATAAAAAGTGTTATTTACAGCTCTCGGTACCGGCGTGCATGCATGCGTCGATCGATAATTCCCCCCGCTCTCGGCCGCCCGCTACGCGCCGCTCCCGCGAGCGAGTGGAATAATAATACGCGATAATGATAGTGCCGCTAACCGGCGCGCCAGCGTCACAACGGACGTGCTCCCCGCGTCGGGAAGCGTCGCAGAATTCCAATTTCTTGAGACTGCTTCGCTAGGGCGAAATCAACTAATGTTAACGTAACGTTCTAGGTTCGACGATTCAGCTTGCAAAATCATCATGAGTTAATCCACCCGTCCCCATTGAGGCTAGATAGGGCGTTATCTTTTCATTTTTCTAGAAATACTTGTTCACAATCGTATATCGCCGATACATTAAGCAATCCGAATTCGTATTATTTGTTTAGAGTTAGTATATATTGAGAGAAATAAATATTCGTTTCTCAAAGTAAAGTATGCGATACAAGGTAAATGTCCCAATGATTGAACTATAGAATAAGAGAGTATGATCAGTTTCACATTTTTATTAATAAATAGTTAATAATGAAAGTACTAACAGGACTAATGTCTATATAAAACTTTGGTTTATCAACGATCGAAAAATAATAAGAAATAAAATAATCGATAAATATCGTTTATAATTTTAATGAAACATCATATAGATAATGTCGATTGTGCCAGTAATTGAAGTGAAAAACTAACTATATTCCAATTACTGAATAATACAACTTAATAATTGAATTCTCATTGAAGAATCCCAAATAGATAAAAATGTTGAATAGCATGTAAATGTTTACATAGCATGTAAACGTATACTTTATAATCCTATCGTAAGAACACAACGTGTTTAAAATGCTTGTTTTGAGAAATACTCATTTATTACGCCATTTAATCAAAATATTTACTCTTTGTTAATATAATCCTTCAAAACAACAAAATAAGCAGCAATTTTCATGGTATCAGAATGTCGCTGCAATTTTTATGTCATTGAATAAGACTTTTTGTATATGCTGAAAAAGAGTCTTGTATGTGTGAATGCATTTTTGCACTTGCGCTTGTGCTAATCACTAAGGATTGGGAACTCGTTACTTGTAACGAAGTTACAGTTACATTTTTTCGGTAACTATAACTTAACTTAGTTATTTTTTTCCCACCTGTAACTGTAACTTAATTACTTATTTTTAGTAACTTGTAACTTTTTTAATAGTTATTTTAATAGTACTTGGGAAACGTAAAATAAAATTAAAATTATATAGTAATCGTATATTAATTTAATAAATTTATCAAGGTATTTATGGAACATGTGATTATTAAATTCTTTTATCTCTATAAGACTATTATTAAATTTTTATTATGTTAAGTACAGATTTGAAATTTGTTAAGTGGATAGACTAATTAATGTGATAGGTATTAATTATAAAATTTAATTCTTATATTTTAGTAAAGCTTAAAATGTAAGATTTTTGTATTTACAATAATAATTTACAATTATTTCAAGAAAGTAATTTTAAAGTAACGACTCGTTATTTTTTGAGTAACTGTAACTAGTTACTTTTAAAAAGTAACTTTCCCAACTCTGTAAGCAGATAATATTCCACACAGCAGAAATATTCAAAATATTAGGACCTTAACTTAGTTTCCGCCCGCAAATGTTAGATGGCAATGCAAACAGTTC